AGAGTTCTATTTAAACTGCATTATTTACAGATAAAAAAAGGAATGAGCCAGATACATCTCATAGGAATGTATTATTCCAAAGAAAACATCATTTATCTTCAACACATGTTATCAAATCATTTCATCTTCATATAATTTTTTTCTCTTTAAAGCTGTATCATTTACAGATAAGAAATACCAATGTTCTGAAAGAGCCAGATACATCTCATAGAAATATAATATTGAAAAGAATGTATTATTTCTCATAAATTCATTTAATTATTTCAGTGTATTACATTTTGTTTTTAAACTGCATTATTTACAGATGGAAATGTTAAAATATCACTTGTCTTGAGTACAATAAATATCATATTGACACAATATTCAAAAGAATTGATTATTTCTCGTCAATTCATTTAATTATTTCAGTGTATTACATTTTGTTTTTAAACTGCATTATTTACAGATGGAAATGGTAAAATATCACTTGTCTTGAGTACAATAAATATCATATTGACACAATATTCAAAAGAATTGATTATTTCTCGTCAATTCATTTGATAATTTCATCTCTATAGTCTATTCCTTATATTAAAAATTCAATATTTACAGATGAAAAAAATAAATAAATAAAATGAGCCAGCTTAATTTCGTAACTATGAATGTAATATCCCAAAGAATGCATCATTCAATACAAATCATTTAATTAATATGTCATTGATATATTATCTCTTGTGCTAGATACATCTCATACCAATGAAATAAGTAATTTTCGTTTCGATGTCATGCAAAAGTATTTTTTTAGTCTCAATTGTGAATCATTTATAAACAAGTTCTTTTTTTTTTAAGATTTGATTTTCAACAAAAATTGAAATCGCTCATATGAAAATACGCAAATTATCATAATGACAAACACAGCTCGTCACAATCTAGCAGATTCAACTCTACATTTCAGATATGAACTGGTCAGTGATTACTTTTTATGGAAACAAAGAATATGAAAGCATTAATTAACTGATATCATTTGGGTAGCATAGTTTAGTAGTGAGGCAGCTTATCATAAAAAGCCTGGTGGAGTGGGTGCCAGACTGCAGGTGTAGTGCCGCTGCAGAGGGCCTTGAGATCCTGATATTTACCCAAAGATAGCTTTGGTGGGCCATTCCTGTAGAGAGGCTCGGGTGTTACTTCAGTGACCTCTTCTACACCTCTCCGTGTCTGGTTTGTCCTGATCACATCAAATTCTTCATCAGTGTGAGAATACTTGAAGTACACGGAATCCACTTCACCTTTCACGGCCTTCATAGCCATGAATTTCTTCCAGTCTACGGTTTGTCCACCCTCAGAGGTTCGGACTCGCAGAATACCTTTCTGTTGACCAACAGACTTCCAATCATCAATATCTCTTGATTGGACTTCTACTACATGATAAGGATGGGGGTGAAGACGAGCCATCGCACAAATGGTGCTCAATTGAGTCGGTACCATGACTTCTTTCACACGTCTAATGCTTCGTTCTATGACGCTGTGCATGGCATCACCCTCACTTTGTCCGTGGTTTGTAGGGAAGTAATTAACTGTGACCGATTCAACGGACTTAGCCTTTCCGATGAAATGTTGCAGCATTGTTGGGATGATAGAGTTCTTATTTTGACCGACACAGCCATCACAGTAGAACACTACTTGTTTCACACCCCTCTCATCTAGACTGTTAAGGTACCGATGGACGTGTGAGGCAATTTCACAGGATCCTCTTTTTGTTTCGCACTCGTGTGAAAGAAAGCACCATCCGTCCTTGCTTGCAAGTTCATATATCGTGAAGTTGTAGTTGCTGAGTCTACGTTTGTAGAAAATGTCAGATTGTGGGGAGTTCGGCAAGTAAATGACCTGCTCCAGATCGAAAACTGCAGAGACAAATGTGTGGTCAACTGAAGCTCTTTCCTTAGCAAGACTCTTCAACTCTCTTACTTTTTCTTTTTCAGCAATGTGAACTTTGTATGCCCCTGCAATTTCTTCCCTCTCTTTGGGATTCCCACTTCTGTAGGTTTCGCACAAGGGGCACATGTCCTTTTTCGGATGATGGAACTTGATATTCATCTTCTTCAGAACCTTCCTGTAAAGAGATAAAGAAGCACATTCCTCTGTACCTTCTGTAGATGAATTGTACATGCGATACATGATCTCAGGATTGAGATCTTCTGAAAGGTATTCACATCGACTGTTGGCCCGACAATAATGAGATTCTTGACACGGAAATTGATTAATGTGCCGCTTCACCCCTTCACGTAATAGAGCGTCTCTGTCAGACGTCTGCCTGCCACCCCTTCCTTCACCTTCAAGGCAGCCGTATGGTCTCTTCTTTCCAAGCACGGTCTTCACTTGCCTCTCTGATATACCTAATGTTCCCACGAACATCGCTTTGCATACACGAACTTTAATGCATGGATCACCTGCATTGGGCAGGAAATACGCACATTTTCTGATCTTTCTTGACTTCTTTTCTTGAATCTGTTCGGTGTGCCGTCCAATCCATTCTCTCTGCTTTGTCAGATCAGCAAGGTCATAAAAAGCTGATCTAATAGCTTCACGAGTGTTGCAACTAAATGTGTTGCAACTAAGTCCTCTGAAATGACACTTTTCACATGAGGTTTCGTAGCTAGCAAATCTCCTCGCCGCTTTTAGTTCCTTACTCTTTTCACTCTCATAGCTGTAACCAGCATTTCTCCGTTCTTTGACTAATTGATTTCTACTCTTCACCGTCTTTGGCTGCTCTGGCACTTCCAATGCTCTTTCCCCATCTACTTGAAATGATTCAGGAGACAGTTGACTATTATCAGCTGATTCCTGGGGAAGGCTAGCTTCTTCAAGATGCTCTGGAATATCTAATGAGTCGGTCGCATCGGATTGTTTTGATTCCAGAGTCGCCATCAGTACCTGATCTCCGTTCTCTTCAACTCTGTATCCAATGAGGCTTGGTTTTCAAAGTTTCCTCTTCTTGATTCCATTAACGGCATAACCTCGTCTTCATTGTTCCTTTCTTCTTCGTTGGTGAGCCCTTGGTACTGTGATGCACTTGAACTGATGTCAAGTGGAATTTCACTGAGATTGAATGCAAGATTATGACAAAGGCAATCATCACGTAAGTTAAAATGAAGGAAGCATAAGAAACACAAGCACTCTGGACACGCTGCCCAAACTTCATCAGTACACATGAAATTGTCACATGTTTCAGGATTTCTCTGACCACACTGCATGTTTGGATGGAGCGGAGAATCTGGAGAAGATAAAAAGACAAAGGGAAAACAATGATAGTGAATGTAATGACATAATTTTCGGGACACAGGTAAAGTTATATTGAGCACAACAGAAACAATAAGTGTGATAATAATTGATCAGGATATTGAATAAATGAATAGAAAATCCCTTTTATATTCAGAACACGTACACAATCAATAAAATGAAGTGTGCTTTTTGTCCATTCTAACTGTATCAATATAATTTCACTTTAGTTATTATCATCAGTATAATTTCCTTGTACTGTGGACAGTCCTCTGATTTCTTTATGTTATTATGAATAGTCATGAACTATTATTGGAAGATATTTTTACCTGCATGGCTGTCAGACTGTGTTATCTGGTCACTTGCGATGGATATTGGTTCAGGCAATCCAGATCCACATCCTGTTGAATCTTCAGGAAGTGATGGCGATGATACGGGTAGAGGACCAAGTTTTGCTTCTGGGGTAGGATTACAAAAATTGAATATAAACACTAGTTTTAAACTCTCCGAAGAAGATGCCCCTCCCCCCCAAAAAAAATGAATAAGACTACAATAGTGAAATATACACACTAGTTCCAATGCCTCCCCCCCCCAAATAGAAGACTCATCCCAAACCTGCACCCACCCCTCCCCCCTAAAAAAAGATCTTACAAATGTAGAAGAATCCATTTATAATATTGAACATGCGCTTCGGTCTTTCCTCATTAAGATCTTGTAGGAAAGTTGGTCTAGATTGTTGTTGTTGTTATATTCTTGTACTTTCATAATGCAAACATTCTTATTCATAATTGTAATTAAGTTCATTTGTATATGCATATTCATTATTGTAAATATGTTCATTTTTTCATGCACAAATTCATTATTGTCAATATGTTCTTGTTGAGACTCTCATACTCCCGATCGGGGTTCGATAGAGTTTAATAAAATCTTATCTTATCTTATCTATCAAATTGGGAAAAGGAGTGTAATACCTGCATATTTGTCAGAAAGTCGTGCCAGGGGGATGTCAAATTCCTCATCAGACTGTGTTATCTGGTCACTTGCGATGGATATTGGTTCAGGCAATCCAGATCCACATCCTGTTGAATCTTCAGGAAGTGATGGCGATGATACGGGTAGAGGACCAAGTTTTGCTTCTGGGGTAGGATTACAAAAATTGAATATAAACACTAGTTTTAAACTCTCCGAAGAAGATGCCCCCCCCCCAAAAAAAAAAAAATGAATAAGACTACAATAGTGAAATATACACACTAGTTCCAATGCCTCCCCCCCCCCCCCAAATAGAAGACTCATCCCAAACCTGCACCCACCCCTCCCCCCTAAAAAAAGATCTTACAAATGTAGAAGAATCCATTTATAATATTGAACATGCGCTTCGGTCTTTCCTCATTAAGATCTTGTAGGAAAGTTGGTCTAGATTGTTGTTGTTGTAATTCTTGTACTTTCATAATGCAAACATTCTTATTCATAATTGTAATTACGTTCTTTTGTATATACATATTCATTATTGTAAATATGTTCATTTTTTCATGCACAAGTTCATTATTGTAAACATTTTCTTGACGAGACTCTCATACTCCCAAGAACTGGTTAACACTCAGATGATATCAAATTGGGAAAAAGAGGAAAAGGAGAGTAATACCTGCATATTTGTCAGAAAGTCGTGCCAGGGGGATGTCAAATTCCTCATCAGACGATTCTGAATCTTCAAGATATTCTGAATCGAGAACGATTCCTTACCACAGAGTCCCTTCATAGTCCATGATCACCTCTTTCCCTTTTGTCATCTTCCCTGTCCACTGAAGGAGTGGTGAATGAACAATGTTGTTTGCACCATTCAAATGCCATTGCACCAAAACATCATAGCCTTTATCCGGTCTAAAAAGGAATAAAAAAAAGAAAGAGAGATTTCAACAACCTTATTTTCATAACAATTTTGCATACCGGTATGTATTCGGTAATAAACATACATATTAAGCTGTTCCATGAGAGATGAACTGGTAAAGAAAATATAGCCTTATTTTTTATAATTCATGAAGAAATTATTATTCTGCATTAATATTGGCCCAACACTTGAAATTATAAAGTCAAAGACATCACCTATATATTGTTTTTAACACCATTTCATTATTTATAAATATTTATTCTGGTAAACATAAGAATTCTTACCTTGATCCACTTTTCCCTTTGCTCTTCTTTGGTCTTGGCATACCTGCTTTGTTTTAGATATCTCCTTCTCTAAGTTGCACAGCCACATCTGCGATAATAAAAACAAGAAAAAAAATGAGACAAAATATTATAAAAGTCAATGATATACAAATCGGTTTCACAATGATTTGACACATAGGTAGAGATTAAAGTTACAATAATTTTACTACACCATGCATTCAAGTACATAAATAAAAATGTCAACAAGAACATGAACATGAATACCCTGGTCCCTGCCAATTTTGGGGACTGAATAAGACATTTTTTTTGTAATGAAAAAATGGTTAATCTAGATGAAGTCCAACTATTGTTCAGTACATTAATTGTAACTATCTTGATTAGATTACATATAAAATAGAACTTTCAGTTTTGGTCCCCGAAATGGGCAGGGCACAAATGACTTAAGATCTGCTAATGGTGGAGCTCCTAGGTAAAACCTTAACTATCTAGTCCAAATGTTAGATCTAGATAAAATCTATAAGATAGGTTAGTTAGTAACATTATACATCTTAATAATACTAAAAAAAGTTAGGACTAGACCTAGGTCTAGTCAGACTATGGTCTAGCTAGACTCTAGTCTAGATCTACACTAAGACTAAGTTACATCTAGGTCTAATTTGTGTCTTTCTTTGATCAGAAATAGATCTGGTCTAGGCCTAAATCGTCGTCGTTAGTAATAGTATTGTAAGATAAAGACAAAGTAGATCCTAGGTCTAGATCTAGAGTTAGACCTAAATTACTAGTGTTGAATTGCTCTTGTTCTAGTTTTTCCTGTGTTTATCTAATCTACAGACAGTATTCATTAAATAATCTTAGAAAGCAGATATCTTCAGTAGATCTGAAGTTAGTTCTTATTATCAACAGTCAGACAGGATTTCGTGTTAGGTCCAACCAAAAACTGAATAGGCGGGACTGTAACATAATTTTTCGTGAGAATTTAATGATAAAATGAACTTTTTAGAAAAATATAATTGCTATAACCGAAGGAAGAATCTCTTATTGTTTTTTGAAAATATTTTATGTTTTAGAAAATAGATCTTAGAGCATATACTTACGAAATAATTGGATCCGGGCAAACTTTCCAGGGAAGCGGCCGCTTCGTGGTGCAGCAGACGGATCAATTTACGTCAAATTCTTCACCACGAAGTGTCCTGAGCGCGCGAGCGCGAGAGAGGACGGTTCGTGGTACAGAAATATCCAATTTATTGCAAGAGGACGCTTTACGATGACGTCGTTATTACGTAACCGCGCAATGTTAGACTCTGAAATTTTCACAAAATGTAGGTATTTATTAGTACATGAAAAAAATGCAAAAAAATAAAAATTGAAAAAAATGCCGAATTTGGCCAGAGAGGACGGTTCGTGAAACGGGTGACGAATTCCTTACCCTTTGCAGAATAGTATCTCACACTGTAGTGCATGATTTAAGATATATGTAATTTGCCATCAAGGACTATGGGCAAGAACAGTGCTAAGCATTAGTGTACTTGCATAAAAAGTACAACAATGTATGTGGAATACTGATTATCTTTTGAAGACAAAAAATTGGCAACGAGAATAATAGTTAAAGCATGTTATCATCTGCAAAACATGTTAATAACATCAAAGTAAACTGTTATAACCTGTAAATGAGGTAAGCTTATATGTAGCTTAAATTAACAATCATTGGGTGTAAAGTTACTTCAAATTCAAAGGAGAATCTAGCTACTTCCTTCTTTGTATGGCTTTCATACAAAGTGACACAAAAATTGAGATTTGGAGAAAAGTCATTCCAATGATTATAACATGTCTATCATGATATCACATTTTGAAAGCAAAGTATTTGTAGGTATGCATCTTTGAAGCAATAGTACTGGCTGTTTACCTATAAGGAATGAGTAATAAAATAAGCAAAACAAATCAATCATCAAAGAAAAAATAAGGCCAGTTCTATCGAAAACATGAGCTAGTATGAATAGCAAAAAAGAAAATCAATATATAATATAAATACATTTATAAAGCAGGTAATGTCAAAATATACATCCACAGTGTTTGAAAAATCAACATAATTATGCTAATCGATCTGAAATATGATTAACATACAACGCAAATATTTATTAAAAAAAGGAATTTGTGGGTAATATAAAACAAAAGCTCGTTTTGAGGGAAGTTCTAAATTAGCTCTTTCAAATGCCGTTCTTATTTAACCTTTTCATATTTGGGCCTGCGAATGGAACATAGTACCTTTAATAAACAACTGTCATATTTAAGTGCATATATAACTGCTAGCAGTCAACTTATGACCTGAGATATTAAGGGAGAAAGAAAATAGTTTCCATTTTCTCCTAATGAAACAACTTTAGGGCCTACCTATAGTATTCCCTATATTTGCATATATATATATATATATTTATCATCATTCTGATTTTCCTCAAACTTTAAAAAAATCTGTTTGTCCATTATTTTGTCTGCTTTTATAAATACCAAGAAATTCTTGGACTGGACTTGGCCTTTATATATGATTCTGCAGTCTAACCAAGGAGTTACTGGCACTCCTTGGTCTAACACCAAATGTCAGATGAATGCATGGATTAAAAAAATAAAACATTATTGCCAGGGAGTCAATCAAACCAACAAAATTCATCAACCCCACCTGAACTTGTTTTCCTCGTTGTGGCATTGGATCAATTGAAGATTCATTTTCAATCAATGGCTGGAAGTTGATCCTCGTCTTGGACTTGGGTGTTCCAGAAACATGTAGCCTCTTAGTAACATGTTGTAAGGATACCAAAATACACATTCAGTATGAATATTGCTTGTTAAAAAATACAAAAACATAGATCTAGGTGATGGTGCTGATTTGCAAAAAAAAATCATACATTCAGGAATACAATATTTGTATCATTATAATGATATTATAATGCATTATTGTGATATTTGTTCTCGCCTATAGGCGAGAACAAATATCACAATAATGCAAGTAAGAGTCTTCAAACATAACTAGTTTCAAAGATTTTCATTTCACTGTAGCCTATTGAATTAAGTAGCAGAAAAAAGGGATTTTTTTTTTTTTTTTAAGGGGGAAGAAAGCTATAGAAAGGGAACAGTAAAGAACAAAAACAAATCAAAGATTGTCACAAGACGCAAGATCGAGTAGGCCTACATTCATGACATTGCACCTTTTTTTTACAGTTCGACCAAGCGATGAAGGATTTTGGTCCGACAAGAAAGGTACACCTAGATCTAGAGATGAAATTTAAATGTGTTTGTTTGATTATTTACCTTTGTTGGTGGTGTGCCGGCCAGGTGAAAAACAAGCTTCTCTTTTATTCTCCGAATTTGACCCATTTTTGCTTTTGGGTGTCGTTGCTTTCCTTTTTGGAGTAGAAGGGCTAGAAGAGCTAGAAGAGGCAATTACGGTGTGGTTTTGAAGTGTCCGTTCGTAGATTAGTTCGACTTGTTGACTTCTCATGGAGTGTACATTTATAACTTTCTTCACACATTTGTCGCATACATGCTGCGATTTGTTTGTAGAAAAGTCACCAAATATGTCTTTAAAACTCTTCTGCAAGCCACTCCTTGAAGTTTTCGTAGAATTTATATTAATGTAGTGTTTGCAGGTACCTAGGGCAGTATCACAAATCATACACCACCTAACAGGTCTCATTGCTAATTACTTTAGTCCTTCTTTCACATGATTTCAGTGCTATTTAATTCAGATTTCTTTCTTATTTATGTTTCCATTTGTTGCAATAAGCTATATTTCTCGTATTTATACTGATTTATTTTACAAATTCAATATATCATGTTATGCTATGTTCTATGTTATATAAATTACATTATGTGTTATTAATTTTGTTTGTAAACTTTTGTAATTCGGCTAAACGCCGCGATGAAAGTTTTATTTGAAATGAACCATTTTGAATGAATGAATAATTGGCAAACTCAGTTTCAATTGCTAGTCAACTTTTATCCAATACGATGTATGCATGCTTAATATATTGGGACAATAGTGCATGTGCTGCACGCAAATAACAAATATTATAAAATGGCTCTAGTATTTTAAGCATCGTGATTGGTCAATACGCGTCACATGACATTGAAAAAATTTTGATGCAAGCACGATTTTGCAGAAATGAGTGCAGAAAAAGCGCAGTAAAAAGTTATATTGCACGGTGCGTACGCGTGACCATGGAGATCCAGTGCGCGCGCGTACGTGTAGTACGCGCTCCCTCGAGTTGCATTGCAATTATTGTAGGCTACGCGTAGCTAATATTGTACGCTCCACCATGATCCCCAGCGCAACGTACGCGTAGCTAGCTCTAGCTAGCTAGCTAGAGCGGCCAGCGGGGTATTATTAAAAAGCAAATTTTTATTTTACTTTTGCCTTGGATTTAGGCCTGTTTTGACTTTTGGATTTTATAATGAAGCCAGGAATTTCAGCTGTCTGATGTAGACTCGTCTCTAGACCCACTGTATGGATTTTATTTTTAATCAAGGCAATGAATCCCATTGACTTTTTGGTAAGCCTGCAAGGTCTTAGTCTAATTAGAAGTAGATCTAGAACCAACATAACTCTAGATCTAGATCTAGATCGAACTCTCGTAGACTCTAACTTATTAGATCTAAAGTTTCGTTTTTGCTATTTGTGTCGCTATTTTATAAAACAAATAACGCACTTGACCCTGTTGTGCGAAACGTAAATGCAGTAAACGCTCGGTTTCTTCAGATGGTTCGCACTGTCAACTCGCCGCAAGCGGCTCGTTGCACAGAGCGGCACCAATCTAAAGAAACCTCGCGCGTACTGCATTCACCGCTATTGCACTCTGGGACGTGCGTTATTTGTATACTGTAGCATTGCACATAACTTTCACATTCACCAACATACACCCAGCTCCCAGGGTATGGAAAGCCGTTGGTGACTTTATTCACGTGCCCCAGACGTATGGAACTCGGCACACGTCTGCTAAATTGACCAATCACCGCCTGTTATTTAGCAGGCGCATGCAAGGTGCGATAGCACACGCCTGTTACTTTATTAGCACACGTGTGCCTTTTTCCAGACGGATGCTGTTTACTGCACATGCGTCTGGAATTGATCTACCAATCAGATACCTTGTTTAATATGGAGTTTAATGTGTGTGTACGGTGAGTGCATGCAGCGCAGACAAACAAAAATGTGCCGGGCACATGGTGATCGACGCACGTGGTACTCTTACCGTTCTTAAAAGTATTGACTTTGATTTCTATGTCAGAAAAGAAGTATACATTGTACTTCCATTGAGGTAGGAACTTTCTGATGCAAAGAATATTATGCCAAATTATAAACGAGGTACCGAACTGCTATATGAACGTTTATCCTCCACCTAGTATTGGAGTTTGTAAATACTATAAAGCTATAGTCTAGGGTTGATAAAGAAAAAGGTAAGTCTAATATCATGAATGGTAGTTTCCAGATTTACAATCTATCATTCAGAACCTACTCTAATTGCAAATTAGGTGATATACTATGCAACAGTGCCATTGTGATAATGTGTATGAGCCAGTGTGATAAATAGTGTTGGAACAACAGAGTATATCTCTCCCCCTCTTCCATCTCTCCCTTATCTCTCTTGGGTCACTCTGCACAGAGGTCAACCTCACTCGTGGTATAGGGAACACACACACACACACTCTCTCTCTTTCTCTCCCTTTCTTCCCCAATATTCTCGTCCATGTTGTGTTGTTGAGCAACACTCTCCATTGGGCAAGGACAGGGGGATTAGTGATAGGAGGCATGTTTGCTTAAGAGCTCAGATTAGAAGTTGGAAACAATGTGAAGAGTTTGCATTTGCTTGGCACAAGGGATTATCTGACCATTATTTGTTGGTAGTTATCAATCGAATAAACCTGCTCATAATTATCCCATAGGCCTAATTGTATTTAAGGGTTGATGTTTGGATGTTGATTGGCTTATAATACAACATGTATTGCTCTATATTGCATAAGTGGAAGTTATCACATTTCTTAGAGACAATCAATATTCTTTAGTCTATATTTCTTGTCTTGTATATAGTTTATGATTATTCCTTTATATTTCTATGTTATATGTCATATGAGTAGTCGAAGCATAGTAATAGTGCAATATTTATAGGTGAATCACATGCAGATTGCAGTATTGATTGATAAGCTCTTTTTCCTTAAACGATATTTACACCTGAGATTATGTATGTGTTGTGTGCTGGAGGAATACAACATATTTCTATGTTCTTATTATTTATAAATCTGAGAGGATAATAGATTAGCGCGTTTAGATGAGATTGCCTTGGTACAATGAAGGTCTAATTTAGAGTTAGGGTATAACGAATCACCATCAGGGGCGTCTCCAAGAGGGGAGGGGGTGGGGGTGCGACACCCCCCC